TGGCCATGCCCAGCAGGAACCTCATTAGCATAATAGGCCACACCCAACAGCAGAAACTCATTAGGATTGGCTACATTCGGGGTGTGTGGCCTAACATGCAAAGGAGTTCCTGCTACAAAAAACCCCTGGGTTTTGACAACAGACAAGGTCAACAGAATAACAAGCAAAAGGTGGGTGTGGCTGGATGACCACACTTCTGGTAACATGGGGGTGTCGCCTAATGTGCTAATGAGTGGTGGTCAGGGGTGTGGCCTAATATGCTAATGAGTTTTGCTGTTGGGTGTGGCATATTGTGCTAATGAGTTCCTGCTGGGCTTTTTCTACAAAAAGAGCCCTGCGTGTGAAGATACCTTTATTGTAGCCAAGCACCTGGAGTTACCAGACTGCAATTCTCGATGATTCCTGTCTCCAAAGTAGAAAAAAAACCCTGTAGTATGGGGACATGTTGCAAGGCTGCTGGAGAACATGGGCTGGATTCAGCGGTTGTCTTCCACTGACAGTGAAGTTGCCAACCTCCAGGGGGCACCTGGAGACATCCAGGAATTACAACAGGTCTCCAGCCCACAGAGAACACTTGGAGGACTTGGAGGACAATGGCTGCTATGGAGAGGGGGCTCTCTGGCAATATACCCTGCTGATCCCGCCCCTCCTCAAACCTTGCCTTCCCTAGGATCCACCCCAGCTCTTCAGGACTCTCCCAATCCAGAGATGGCAACCCTAGGCAGAGGAATCTTCCATTGTGTTGAAAGACTCCTTGTGTTGAAAGACGGGAACCAGCCTTCTGCCCGTGGCAGATCCAGTGAAAATGCTTAGACAGTTTTCTTCCCTCCCACTTCCCCCTCCTGCTGCATTGTCGACTGGATATACTATTCTACAGTTTTATTGCATTGCTTATTATTGCCTAGTTAGTATAATCCAGAAGGAGCTGTGGTGGCTCAGAGGTTAAGACGCTGAACGGCAGGCCGGAAGGTTGGTAGTTGAGCAGTTCGGGACCCGAGTGCCTCATGATGGAGTGAGCTCCTGTCTCTGGTCCCAGCTCCTGCCAGCCTAGCAGTTCGAAAGCAAGGAATTGCAAGTAGATAAATAGGGACCACTTTGATGGGAAGGTAACAGCGTTCCATGCACCTCAGTGCCTACTCATGCCGGCCACATGACCACGAAAACGTCTTCGGGCAACACTGGCTCTTTGGCTTGGAAATGGAGATGAGCACCGCCCCCGAGAGTCGGATTCGACTGGCTTTCGAGCAAGGGAAACCTTTACCTTTAGTATAATCCAGATTGATTACATTATTATATGTATTATGTTAGCTTTTACTGCATTGTTCCTCTCATTACAGTTCCTCCAGTTCAATAATCTTACCTAAGTTTCAGAGAGAACGGCAAATGATAAATTAAGTCCATTAACCCACCAATACTCTTTTTATGTTTGTTTGGTTTTTGGGGTTTTTTTTTCTGAATGGCAGCCCCTGGAACAGGTACAGACACTGCCTACTTGCCTTTAAAGGAAATAAACAGGACATTTTGTCTAACAGAATATAGGCATATGGATCAGAGGTCCATCAGTGGCTATTAGCCACAAGGCATAGATAGGGGCTCTGGGGCAAGTGATGCTCTGTCATCTTGGTGCTTGGGGGGGTCAACAGTGGGAGGGCTTCTAATGTCCTGGCCCCACTGGTAAACCTCCTGATGGCACCTGGTATTTTTGGCCACTGTGTGACACAGAGTGTTGGACTGGATGGGCCTTTGGCCTGATCCAACATTGGCGTCTCTTATGTTCTTAACTTTCCTTTGGGTTCTGTTTCTTAGACGAAAGATAAATCAGAGGAGAAAGCTTCAAAAGGGAAGCATGTTCCCATCAAGAAAGGAATCCAAGCCGAAGGCAAGAATTCCTTGGAAGGTACAGTTTATTGTTCTGACATTTAAGGACACATTTGGGAAGACAGATATAACTGGATTAGTGCTGAGGTTTCATTCCAGACTGGGGTGTGCCACTTACAGGGGGTGGGTGGGAGCCCCTTTCGCCTTTGAGCAAGAAGACATCGGTTGCAACTTGCAAAGGAAAAAGAACAAAAATTGTTAAGCATTTCCTTTGGTCACTACAGGAACAAAACTGCAGCAAAGACACCCCATAGGGTTGCCAGCTCTGGGCTGGGAAATACCTCGAGATTTTGGGGGTGGAACTTGGGGAGAGTGGGGTGTGGGGGAGGGGAGGGTCCTCAGCAGGGTACGATGCCATAGAGTCCGCCCTCCGAATCAGCCATTTTCTCCAGGGGAACTGATGTTGGTCATCTGGAGATCAATTGTAATAGCAGATCTCCAGGAACAACCTGGAGACTGGCAACCCTAGTTCTCTGAATATGAAAAAAGAGGTGAGACCAATGATGGTGGACTCTGATGATTAGGAAGACAACTTCCTAGTCTTAAAAGGATCATACTGGTGGCCATAGTTCCCTCTAATCTCTGCTAGGGGGCAGTGGCACACAACCTTTTAATAGGCTGCTGAGGAATTCCTGCTCTCTGCTAACAAAGCCTTTCCCTCTCCTTTGGAAACAATGGAGAATGGGGTCAACTCCTTCTGGGGTCCATAGAACTGGACCCCCTGGTCCAGTCTTTTTGAAACTTGGGGAGGTTTTTGAGGAGAGGAACCAGAAGCTATGCTGCAAATGTGGTGCCTCTACCTCAAAACAGCAGCACTCCTGAGCCCCAGATACCCCTAGATCAATACTCCATTATAGCCTATGGGGCCATTGACTATTACGCTTTTCAGTATGATTTGTAAGCGGCCTTGAGTCACAGGGAAAAGTGGGATATAAATATTTGAATATGTAAGTAGTTTGGGCAGGTTGATAACATTTAAGCAACTTCCTGTTTGTTAGGTTAGGCAGGGTTCTGAAAATGGTTGTTCCTCTTCTTGTTATACTTGACCTGTAATAATAATAATAATAACAACAACAACAATAACAACAACAACAATAATAATAACAATAATAACAATAATATCATCTTTCGATTTATTAATCGCTCAATCCTGCAGAGCTGCTGGCTCTGAGCGATTTACAGTTACACATATTAACAAGGGACTAACAATGATTTGTAGGGGGTAAGGGAGGACAACATATAAATCTTTTTAAAGTCACACACGTTTGCAGCCGATAATCTTCTAAAAAACTAATTTATGCAATAGTCAAATGTAGACTCGCTCACAGCTTTAATGCTAGTAGGGTTTTTTTTGCTCATGGGGTAGAATTTCGGCTCACAACACTGTGGGGCATAGAGGAAACATTGCTGGCCTGTTTCCTACCAGGCATAATTCAAGGTTCTGGTTATCACCTGTAGAGCCCTAAAAGGTCTCGTTAAGAGGATAAAAGTGGCCAGCTAGGGTCGCCAACCTCCAGGCTACAAAGATCAGTTCCCCCTGGAGAAAACGGCTACTTTGAAAGGTGGATTCTATGGCACTGTACCCCACTGGGGTCCTTCTGTTCCCCACAACCCTGTCCTCCCCATATTCCACCCCCAAATCTCCAGCAATTTCCCATTGTCATATTTCACTAAAAAAAGTGTAGACGGCAAAAAGTTTTCTCCCCCCCCAAGTGCTGGTATGTTTTCTAAGGCTCAGCACAGGGCAACAGTCCGAGGCCATATCCTCCAATATAGTGGACTGGGGCAGGGAGACCTGTTCTTTGGAGGAAAAGGGTGGGTGAAATTTGATTTGATTCTGTTTTCTCTTATAAAGTTTAAATTATTCTTAAAATATAATTTAAATATAATTTAAAAGAATTTATTCTGAGATTTTCACAAGGTTATGGAATTAATCTTCTAAAAAACTAATTTATGCAATAGTCAAATGTAGACTCGCTCACAGCTTTAATGCTAGTAGGGTTTTTTTTGCTCATGGGGTAGAATTTCGGCTCACAACACTGTGGGGCATAGAGGAAACATTGCTGGCCTGTTTCCTACCAGGCATAATTCAAGGTTCTGGTTATCACCTGTAGAGCCCTAAAAGGTCTCGTTAAGAGGATAAAAGTGGCCAGCTAGGGTCGCCAACCTCCAGGCTACAAAGATCAGTTCCCCCTGGAGAAAACGGCTACTTTGAAAGGTGGATTCTATGGCACTGTACTCACTGGGGTCCTTCTGTTCCCCACAACCCTGTCCTCCCCATATTCCACCCCCAAATCTCCAGCAATTTCCCAACCAGGAGCTGGGAACGCTAGACCCCTGGAGACCAGGCTTTCTCTGTACTTGCACCTTGAGAATAGAATGCCCTCTGAATGGTTATTTGACTGGTGCCCATCATTGGGAACCGTAGGTGCCAGGTAAAAACATTTTTGTCCATCCTGACCTTTGGCTGATAGTTAATTTATTGTTTCCAGACCCCCTACATGTAGCTGGTTACTTTTAGATACTGAGCTTATTTTGCTGTGTATTTTCCATTGCTAATTTTATCAGTGTTTGAGTGAACTGTTTTTCGGCGGAGAGGTGGGATTTCAGTCTTGCAAACTGCGTGCACAATCCCCTACAGGAATCGGAGGCAGCATAAGCACAGTAGGAGAGCCCTGCTGGGTAAGACCAGCCGTCCATCTAATTCAGCATCCTGTTTCCTACAGTGGTCAACAGGGGTCGTTTCGTAGAAAAAGAGCTAGGGGAACGCATTAGCATAACTCATTAGCATATGCCACACCCCCTGACATCACCGGAAGTGTGTCATAAGGCCACACACCCCGCCCCCAATGGTCCCGGCCGCCGCTGGCGGCCTTGCAGCTCCACTGCCGAGCCCCATGAGGGGCCCGGCAGTGGACCTGCAAGGCCGGCGGGAGTGCAGGCAGGCAGGGCTGGGGAGAGGCAGGGAGGAAGCAACTTACCCTCCCTCTTCTCCTGCCTCCTCCTGGCTGAATAAGGGCCGGAAGCGGGGTGGCCGGAAGCAGGGGGCGGGGCTTCATCATGTGCCCCGCCCCCCGTACCTCACCCGGGGGAACTGCGATCCCCCGCGATCCCCCCGAAATGACCTCTGGGGGTCAATCAGATGCTCAGGAAGGTGCACAAGCAGGGTCACTGAGGCCCAAACCTTCCTTGCTGTTACCCATGCGGCGACTGGCGTTCAGAGGTAGACTACCCCTGGACATGGAGGTTCCATTTAGCCATCATGACTAATAGACGTCGGCAGACCTGTTCTTCAGGAATCTGTCTAAGATTTTAAAGTAACCTTGGCTAGAGGTCATCACTACATACTGTGGACTCCACCAGTTAATTATGCACTGGTACAAATTCATCTCTGGCCCCAGAAGACAGGAAGAAGTAATTCAGGACAGTGTATAGCAAAACACCTTTGCAATCTGTGCATCACCTTCTACCTGTTGGCCATGCCAGTGTTCTTCCTGTCATTAATAAAATTCTCACCTTAGGCAGCAAAAAGGAGAAAAAGTTGGATGAACCTGATGGGGTATGTGAAAAGGTGAACTCGTCTGGAACGAACCTTTCCAAAGCTGACTCTGGTCCATGCGGGAAAGAGAGGATGGCCCAGACTGAAACTTCAGATGCTTTGGGTTGCCAACAACAAAAAGATGTGGGTATCAGTGCCCTGGTCCAAAACGACGCCCTTTGCTGCATCGCCGGAAGCAATCCACCAGGATTGGAGAACACAGACAAAGCTCCAGGCCTGGAAGAACCTCCTACAAAGACTGTCGATCCAAAGCCCAAGGAAAGTGAAAAGGCGGCTTCTCGACTCATTTCTCCAACTCGGGAAGCTGTGCCTTCCACTTCTGGCAGTGAAGTTATACAAACGAGGTATTGGCATCCCTTTAAGATTTTCAACGCTGGGAAAGCGGGAGGTCTTTTGACTGGGGCGGGGGGCAGCAATCTGTCATTTTGCGGGGTTGGGGACAGGCAGACGAGCAACGCTCAAAGGTGTTGTGTTCAGATGCCGAACTGAAGAAACAGCAAGAATCAAATGGCTGGACTAGATTCGATTTGGCTTCTGTCCAGCAGAGGGAGCAAGAGCCCATAGGAAGAGGGCTCCACTGAATGGGTGATTTGGTTTTCCAGACATGTTGGAGGCCTTCATTGATGGCCATGGGAACCAGGATTTGATCCAGACGACTGTGCCCAGAAGGTGCAGCTGATTGTTCTGGTACTGCCCCAACTGCTTTGATTCAATAGGCCTCATTGTCCTAAATCAGTAGTTTGCAGGCTTGTGCAGTGAGCAATACATTGAATTACAGATTCCTGTGAGGCCAAAGGACCCGCATTTCCGGAGGAGGTTATCTGCTGCCTCTCTGCACGATCAACTGCATGGCTCCTTCATTTCATATAGGGGAGTAGGGACATGCTTATATCACCCCAGTTCTCATATTAATCACCCCTGAATCTTAGAATCATAGAATGTTAGAGTTGGAAGGGGCCTTGCAGGTCATATAGTCCAACCCCTGCACTCTGCAGGAGCATAGCCGAAAGATAGCCCTACAATATACCCGAAAGATGGTCGTCCAGCCTCCGCTTGAAAACGTCCAGCGAAGGAGCATCTACTACCTCCCGAGGCAATCTGTTCCACTGCTCAACCACTCTGACAGTTAGGAAGTTTCTCCTGATATTTAGCCGGTAACGACTCCCTTATAATTTCCACCCATTAGATCTAGTCTTGCAATCTGGAGAAGGAGAGGATAGATCTGCTCCCTCTTCTACATGACAGCCCTTCAGATATTTGAAGACTGCAACCATGTCCCCTCTAAGCCTCCTCTTTCCCAGGCTAAACACCCCCAGCTCTTTCAGCCTTTCCTCGTAAGACTTGGATTCCAAACCTCTCAGCACCCTGGTGGCCCTCTTCTGGACAGTAGGACTGAAGTCAGAAAAAAGAAATGTCTCAGCTATAAGAAATGTCAGGGAAACGCCATCTTTTAACAGTTAGATTCGAGTCCAATAGCACCTTAAAAACCAACAAGAATTTAGGGTTCCCAGCTCCGGGTTGAGAAATACCTGGCAATCTGGGGGGTGGGGGGTGGAACCTGATGAGGGTGGGGTTTGGGGAGGGGAGGAGAGAGATCTCTGCGTGGCCCAATGCCATAGGGTCCACCTTCTGAAGTGGCCATTTTCTCCAGGTGAGCTGGTCTCTGTTGCTTGTTGGTCACTTGCAATAGCAGGAGATCTCCAGCTGCCCCCCTAGGGGTTGGCATCCCTATCCAGGGCATAAGCGTTCATGCGCCAAAGCTCCCTTCGTCAGACTGAAGCTCCTGTTGGTCTCCAGAACTCTGGCTTGTCTTATGTGAGTGAGCCTAAGGACGGCCGCCTGCTTCCTCTCCGGTACGTGGTGGTTTAATGAAAGACTGCCACTTTCACGATAAACCGTAATTTGTCCGTGATGTGCAAACCACAAAGCGTGAGGCTGGATTCTGAGAGCCAGGGTGGTGTACTGCTTTTAGAGCACTGGACTAGTATCCGGGGTAAGGTAAAGGTAAAGGTTCCCTTGCTCGAAAGCCAGTTGAATCCGACTCTAGGGTTGCGGTGCTCATCTCTGTTTCAAAGCTGAAGAGCCAGCGCTGTTCGAAGACATTTCCGTGGTCCTGTGGCCGGCATGACTAAACGCCAAGGCGCACGGAACGCTGTTACCTTCCCACTGAAGTGGTACCTATTGATCTACTTGCAATTTCTTGCTTTCGAACTGCTAGGTGGGCAGGAGCTGGAACTAGAGACGGGAGCTCACTCCATCATGCGGCAACCCGGGTCTCAAACTGCTGAACTACCGACCTTCCACAGCCTGCAGTTCAGCGTCTTAACCACTTGAGCCACCGCAGCTCCAGTATCCGGGGTACCGAATCCCCACTCCACCAAGGGAGCTTGCTGGGGTGACCTTGGGCCAAGCCTCTCTCAGCCAAGCCTATTTCACATAGGGTTGCCAGGTGGGGCCAACAAGCAGGTGGGGGACTTACCAGGAGGCTCCAGGAGAGGGAACTTGACGTGAGTGTTGGGTGAGCCGTGGTCGCATTTAAAGGGATCGCATTCCCTTTAAACGATGGAGGACGGGGGCACCTTCTTTTGGGGCTCATAGAATCGGACCCCCTAATCCAATCTTTTTGAAACTTGGGAGGTTTTTCGAGGAGAGGCACCAGCAGCTGTGCTGAAAATCTGGTGCCTCTAACTAAAATAACAGCCCCCCCACACCCCAGATACCCACAGATGGATTCTCCATTATACACCATGGGGACAAGTCTCCATAGGGTATAATGAAGTGCTAAGCAGCTCTCCCCCCCCTGCTTTCTGATAGCCCTGAAGTGGGGGGGGAGGGGCTCCAAACCGGAGGATCCCCTGTCCCCAACTGGGGATTGGCAACCCTAACCTCACAAGGCGGTTGTGTGGAGACAACGGAGGCGAGCAGAGCCATGTTGTAAGCGGCATTGGAGAGAAAGACAGGGGACAAATGAAATAAGGAAAGAGTAAAATCCTACAGATTTCCCTCCCGCAGAAGGCGCCTCTGCTGGCAGAGTGGACTGATGGGATCCAACCCAGTAGTTGGTTTGCTTCTCTTTAAACCAAAGCACGATGACTCACCGGCAATGTTCCCTCTAAGCTGTTGAGTCTTGTGAGCAAAAATTCCACTTTGTGAGCTACCGGCCTGAAAGTTGTGAGCAAGTGATTTGGCTACTGCATCAATTTGTTTGCTCTGGAGCCGTCCTTCCTGAGCTGAGACAAAAATCTGCGAGCTGGAGGCTAAAAAAACGTGAGCCAGCCAGTTTGGTGTAGTGGTTAAGTGTGCGGACTCTAATCTGGGAGAACCGGGTTTGATTCCCCACTCCTCCACTTGCACCTGCTGATGTGACCTTGGGTCAGTCACAAGCTCTGGCACAGCTGTCCTTGAAAAAGAGCAGTTTCTGTCAGAGCTCTCTCAGCCCCACCCACCTCACAGGGTGTCTGTTGTGGGGAGGGGAAGGGAAAGGAGTTTGTAAGCCGCTCTGAGACACCTTTGGGTAGTGAAGGGCGGGGTATAAATCCAATCTCCTCCTCCTCCTCCTCCTCTTCTTCTTCTTCTTCTTCTTCTTCTTCTTCTTCTTCTTCTTCTTCTTCTTCTTCCTCTTCTTCCTCTTCTTCCTCTTCTTCTTCTTTTTCTGGTTAGAGGGAACACTGCTCACCGGTAGTAGTATTTCACTGGGCAGAAATGTCTGTTTGCAACCCAGAGAGTCTCACTGTCAATTTAAAACTCCTGTGCTGAATTGCTTCTAAATCCCACCCCTGCATGCTGTACTGAATGGGTGTGCCTCACAACTGGAAAGGGTACAAAGGAGGTGTGTGTGTGTGTCTGTAAACATCTGGATGCTGCTGCAGCTGCGGCTCTCAAGATTCCCGGGGGAATGTCTGGACTCCAGCCTGGCAACTTCAGCTGAGACATCTTTGCTTTGCAGGCTTTCCATCGACGTGCAAATGAGCGATGCTCAAGAGAAGCCTCTGAAGAGCCAAGAAGGAAACGTCGGAGGAGGCCCTGCCGGTAAAGGTGCCAGGGTACCCATTCCTCAGCCTCCGTCTCCGGCAGGTGAAGGGGCAAAATGTTGCCCAGACTCTAGTAAAGGTAAGCAGGCGCCTAAGAGCAGCAGGACTGATCTCCCTCAAGGGAGAAAAGGGGCCAAGCTTTCCGATAAGCAAGGTGAGCAAACGCCAAAGCCAGCAGACCGAAAGCCGCTTCCAACGGCTGGAGAGAAAGGAGAGCTTAAAGGCAAGACTGTGAGTTCCGTTGCAAAGGATTCTGGGAAAGATCCAGGGGCCACAACGAAAAGGCCCAAAGAAGCGCCAACGATGAGGAAAGGCTCTGTAAAAGATGGCAAACTGGAGACTGTGGAATCTGGTGGCACACCTCCAGCAGACCAGGGAAGTGGATCTGGTCAGCGTGTGGGGAAACCATCCGAAAATGTGGCTTTGGCAGGAGCTGGTGAAAGGGAAGAAGTGGTCATCGGTAAGTGATTGGCAAGAATACCTATCCACATAGCAACTGCTCATTTGAAACTGGTTTTGCTGGCATTGTTTTCTCCTCACCCCCACCAGAAAACCCTCGGGACTAGTGACTAGGTGGTAGCTCTGTTTTTGGACTGACCCAAATATGTGACAGGTGGGGGCATATGTGACTGAGCACTCTTCTCTAAAAGAAAATATTCCTTGCAGTTAGAAAGCTAGCATGTCAGGGAAAGGGCTAGACTCACCCTTCTCTCTAGCTTTCTACGTGTGGTTTTTGGTTTTTTTTTTGTATACAAAGGCACATTCCTTTACTGGAGCAAATCCTTCCCTCCTGTCTTAGCCAGAAGCAGCTTTTGCTAGCTAGGGTTGCCAACCTCCAGGTGGGACCTGGGGATCTCCCGCTTTTACAACTGATCTCCAGCTGACAGAGGTCAGCTCCCCTGGAGATAATGGCTGCTCTGAAGGTGGACTCTATGGCATTGTACCATGCCGAGGCCCCTCCCCTCCCCAAACCCCACCCTTTCCTAGCTCCACCCCCAAAGTCTCCAGGTATTTTCCAATCCAGACCTGGCAACCCTATTGCTAGCTGACAATGAAATTAACTTCAGTTAATCAGGTTTTGCCTTTACCTAGGATCTAAAACCCTTTTTAGAGCATGGCTCCAGATGCCAAGTTTGTGTTTGTGTGTGTCTCATAGAATTCTTAGGGTAGGGGTCAGTGTGGCTCCGTGGCAAAGCATCTACTTTGCGTGCAGGAGGTCCCAGGCTCAATCCCCAGCCAGGCCCACAGCCAGAGAATTTTTTATTTTTTGGGGGGGGAATTATTTACTTATTTACTTTATTATTTATTTATTTACTTTACCATTTATACTTTCTTAGTTATTAACCAATTAAGTGATTAGTTATTAACCAATTGAGATTCAAAGTGGATTACATGGCATGGGACACTGTAATCAAGCAGCATGAGAGATCTAATAAAAATGCAATAAGACTAGAAGCACACAAATTGCAGAGATGCAAAAAAAGGATCAGACATGCTATGTCTAGCAATGCAGAAAATGGAATTAGGAAAGAAATGAAAACAATACTGTAAAAGCATGATAGAACATACAACAAGTCAATAATGTATAGCGTACGCTGGGGCATAGACTACCGTCCTGTCCTGTATAAGCTTTATAAAAATGCCCTCCCAAGCAACCAGGGGTCATTTTGTAGAAAAAGAGGTGGAGGAGCTCATTAGCATAACTTATTTGCATAGGCCACACCCCCTGACATCACTGGAAGTGTGTCAGAAGGCAACACCCACCGCTCAGGCTCCACTGGACTGTTTTGTATTGCTAGCTATTGGGGGGGGGATGTGCAGGTCTGTCCTCGCAGAGGAGAGAGAGCTTGTACCTGAATAAAACTTGGTCTTAAAGGTGCCACTGGACTGTTTTGGCCCGGGGGCCCGGGGGGGGGGGCTCTGCAACTAACCTCGCTGCTTCTTGCTCTGACTGAGGGCTGTTGGGAGAAGGGGGTGGGGCTTGTTGCATGTGCCCGCCCCCTGGAAATGACCCCTGCACGTAACTGTTCTACATAGTTTGCAGAATTAAAGAAGTGTGAGAGCCTTCTTCCAGTTACTGAAACCTGAAACTGTAAATATAACCTTCTTTTCACTGTAAATCGCTAACTCAAGGCTTCTAACGGTGCCACCCAACACCCCTGCAGGCTTTTAAAATCAGGACTCTTCAGCCCCGCTAGCTGCTAATTCTGTTCTAGCCAGTCGCATAGAGAATTCACCCTTGGAAGATGACGGGATTCACACTTTTTAAGCTCAACTCCTTCCTTTTTTTTACAAAGAAAATGTACACCTGGAAGACGTGTGACAGATTTCACACCAACCCGTAATGCTGATGGGAGGGGGATGACAAATGATTGATGGGGCACCACCCTTTTTTGCACCACTGTGGCTATGGGCCTGTCTCCCTTATGGCCAGGTAAAAAGTTCAGGTAGTTGTACATCACCCTGAGCCCGGTTTCACCAGGGAGGGCAGTTGATCAATTCAATCAATCAATCAGTGTGAAAGTCTTACACCTGAGACCCTGGAGAGCCACTGCCAGTTGAATAGCCAGTGCTGATTTTGATGGGCCCAGTGTCTGAATCAATACAAAGCAGTTTCACGTATGTTCAATGTTAAGTTGCTCACTTAACAAAGCAGTCGGAGAGTGATTCGGCAAGAACACAACTTTATTCTTCAACTCGAACACAACTCCATCACGGATCAACATCTGATAGCCAGAACAGCCTTTACATTGCAGCTGTCCTGCTTTTAAACATTCCCGGCTAATGTAGCTACTAGGGTTGCCAAGCCTGGGTTGGAAAATACCTGGAGACTTTGGGGGTGGAGCCAGGAGAGGGCGTGGTTTGGGGAGGGGAGGGGCCTCAGCATAGTACAATGCCATAGAGCCCACCCTTCAAAGCAGCCATTTTCTCCAGGGGAGCTGATCTCTGTTGGCTGGGATCAGTGGTAAAAGCGGGAGATCCCCAGGCCCCACCTGGAGGCTGGCAACCCTAGTGGCTACACCCACTGTACAAATACCAACCAATAAGGTTGTTCACAGAGGGACCAATCACGGATGTTCCCGCGCAGGGAGCTTGCTAGAAGGTGATTGGTTAGGTGCTTCCTGGGCTAGTAACACGATTGGATGGATTTGGATCCTAGCCCAGGATGAAGCTTTACATTACACTTCAATTAGATGTTTCACAACATATCATGCATTCAAGGCAGCTTTGAATACATTCAAGAGGAACCCTGGTGAACTTAACCATCCGTGCTGACAAACTATACACTTGTTATTAAGGGTGGGATTCACTAGCATTAGAGGACAGAGCACATATACCCACTCTCCAGGGTCTCAGGCATAGTTAGGAGTACCAGCCTCTCGGTGGGACCTAGAAATCTCCTGCTTTTACAACTGATCTCCAGATGGAAAAGATCAGTTCCCCTAGAGAAGATGGCTGCTTTGGAGAGTAGGCTGTATGGCATTATACCCAGCTGAGGTCCCTCCCCTCTGCAAACCCTGCCCTTCCTTATGCTGTTACTCCAAATTTCCAGGGATTTCCCAAGTTGGAGTTGGCAGTGCTAGGCATAGAAAGTCCCCCCCCCCCGCTCCCTGAGGTGTCTTAACAACCTATGCCAAGGACAGAACCAGGGACGTTCTGTGTGCAAAGCATGTACCTACCTCTGAGCCAGAAGTGCCTTATACAGAGTCTCACCCTCCTGTCGGCAGAGTTTAAATATGCAAAGGAAGTGGAGCACTGACTGTTCAGAGAAAAATAAGTAAAGTAAAGAAAAAATAAGTGTGAAAGTGTGAAAAATAAGTAGGTTTATTAAAGGTGAACAAACTGTTATAGAACATAGACGAGAGAGAGCCTTAACTGCCTAGCCTAACTGCTGAAGGAGGAACCGCAGCAACAGACGCTCAGCAGGAGCAGGAAGTCTCCAAGAGACCCAATCAGAAGACAAGAAGGACATAATTTAAAAATGTGGGAGGTCCCTAATCTAGTTATACTAACTAGCAGTCCTTCAGATGTCCCCCCCCTGTAGCATCTTCCG